TCGTGATGTTATCCAAACTTCGTCTATCGATCACTCATACATTAAGGGCTACATACTTAAGAGTTCCGCCGATCAGCCGAAAGACTTCTTCCGAGGTTTCGCCGTATTCTGCCCCTATAATCAATGCATCACTCAATACATTCGACCCGATGTTTTTCGGCAGACGAATACAAATTCTCATGGCCGATCGGCGGAGCTCGCATGCATAGGTGTATCTGAGCGGGGGGGGGGGGGGGGTTTGACCCCCTCCCCCCCACCGTTTGCCTCAAAAAAGAAGAGGAAGAAAAATAGAAGAAAGAGGACGGAGGAAAAAAGTAAATACCTATTCATAACAAAGTTTTTAGTTCCGTGAAACTCGATAGATATCTGCAATTTCCTTTCCATGCCAAATTCGTTGAAAACTTTTCGATGAACATTTTCAATTCCATGAAGACTTGATGGAAAGGCCTAGCTTCCATATGAGCTGCATGGAAGTGCTGCGAGTTCCATGTTGAGCTCACGAGGAAATGTATTCATTTCCATGAGGGTTCCATGGAAGTGACCAGGTTTCCATGTGAGTTTCATGGAAACGTAATGATTTCCACGTCAACGGGCATGGAAGTCGCACGATTTTCATGAAATCACATGGAAATCGGACGTCGTTTCCATATGGAAGTCGTTTCCACGTGAATCTAAATGAAACATTTTTAGTAGAGTACCTAATCTGAATTGGTTCAGCATTCGCTGGTAGTAGTATTCTATCTGTTTGGCTACCATCTCACCCGATGAAGCGATGTTACATAAATCCTCTTGGATTCTACTGTCTAAATCTTGACTGCGTCAGTTTTACCGTGCTGCACGCCGAGTCACTGCGCGAGAGTCATTTGACATCAGTCTTATGAAATCACCGCACTCTCACTCTTTCCCTCTTCCTGCCTCTCTATTTTACCATCGATCGCAGCGGCAGATCACGGATTGATTCCCCATCTTCACCCTTCTCCGGACTCACAAGCCGCATCTCGGGCTCCGGTTGAAATCATCCGTCCAAAACCGCAGCACAGACCAAGAACCCATCATCCGTACTTCC